GGGAGAGGGGGACAGGGGAAAACTGCCCCTCCCCTGACGGTTTTTACCGGGCTGACCAAGCCGTCGTACCGGGCTGGGTAATGAGAGAAAAGAAAGAGGGGAGAGGAGGGAAAGAGAAAGAAGAGGAAAAGAAAAGGAAAGAAAAAAAGAAGAGAAAATAAAGACAAGAATAAAAAGGAAGATATCATAATGACCAGACTCACAACACCCTGCAACCCCTTCTCCACTTCAAAAACTGTCATAACTCCTTTGATCTATGCTGCCCGATGGCGTAACCACTGGTCTCTTATACAAATATCTATCTTTGAAAAACCTTCCCCACCCCTTTATAAATGCTATAGGCTTCCCCGGTGATAGGGTATATCCACCTTATTCCCTTCCCTCCACCACTTAATTATTTGGAGAATGGGAATCTGAAAAATTAAAAAAAATAATCCTTAGTCCCCTGAAACCTGAAAATGGTACATCACTATTACGTTCGACATCATTTGGGTTCACAAATTACTGATTCGCAATGTCAAGCAAAGGGTATTTTTATTCAATACAGTTTTTACAACCTTATAGGCCCATTTTTTTCATTTCATTTCATTTCATTTATTTCGCCTTTTTTTTTATCATAACAATACAGTAAAATATTCAGAAAATTCGAAAAGGTAATCCATATTTCCCCCAAGAGCCGGCAGGATTACCAAAAAGTAAAATTAATTACTGTCTGAGTGGCTCTCCAAGCAATGGGGGAAACATGGACTAGCAGTATAAATACCTGTCTCTTATACACATCTAGATGTGTATAAGAGACAGATGTTCAAAAACACTATCAATACAAGTATGGAAATTATCAAAAAAATCTACTTTACTATTTGGAGGTCTATAAAGAACCCCAATCAGTGATTTTTTTGAGAAATGATATACTTCTGTCCACACAAGTTTCGACCTCAGGACAAACTTCAATGATGGATGCACTTGAAGAGTGAACATTCTTATGTATTGCAATTAACACACCACCACCTCTTCTATTTCTATCCTTGCGGTAAAGAGTGAAATCCAACAATCCAAGCTCGGCATCAGAAATGTCCTCCTGTAGCCAGGTTTCAGTTATAATTATGATGTGAGGATCTTCAGTCTCAACAAGGGCTAGCAGGTCGTGAATTTTTCTTATAAAGTACTACGAGCATTCACGTACAAAACGTTTAGGCATCTTGTGATCATGATTATAATAGAGTAGAACAGTGCTTTGTAACTAGTGCAGTACGGTGACGGTATGCTTGGTATGTCAACTCACGTATGTCCAGGAGAAGGTTATAGCAAGGAGGTATTTTTATACCTCCTTGGTTATAGTGAACAAGTTAAAAATAATATTCAATAAATCAGTCTCAAAAACAGGACAAACCAACAGGAAGACAGAATCCAAGCAAGAAGAACAGTACGCGAAAACACACCAAAATTAACAAAGGAAAACACCATAAAATTCAATTAAAAACAATCAGGAGATCCGAAGACATCAAAAATTCCCCAAACAAATCAAATCACAGCAGCAATTTCAGTAGGCAAATTAAAAAAAGCAATACAATTCCATATAAAATATCAGTTAGGCTCCAAATGTTGACTGAGAAATAATAATAATATTGCACAATGATTTAGGCTGAGGGAGTGTCCTTGCATAGCTCCTATAGCAGCCGAAGTCGTTTGAAATTCGCGGGTAGAACATCAGGCAATTAAGAGTATTGCAGGCCTAGCGGAGCTCACAGGAATACGTCCGCTCGTTTTAAACAATGTGCTGTAAATACTGTCAATAACGTCAGAGAACTTTATTTTAATATATGACTTAAAATACAATCTTAATTCATAGTGCTTTCTTTAAATTTGGTGGAATTTAAATGTGGTTATATTTACGCTATACTTTGATGGTTTGCTGTAAGCCAATAACTTATGGTACACCTTCATGGTTAACATAAAGAGAACATTGTAATGTGCATTTTTATGCACTCTATGCATAAAAATGCGCAATAGAATGTGCATACCAAGAAGGCGTGGCGGGCGATTCCATTGTTTTATTTGCATTGCTCTGGGTGACACTTATTACAGACGAGCGGTTTATATTCTCATTTCTCATTCATTTTTTTTTTAATTTCAAAAACAACAGCAAGGTAAAAATACAATCAAAACAATCGAGAAATAAAAAATATACAATTCATGATAAGGTAAAAGACATTTAAAAAGGAATGCATTCATAGTAGACCTAAATATTGCTTTGAGATTTATATTGTTGTTATTACTATCACAGCCATTATTATTATTATTATTATTATTATTATTATTATTATTATTATTATTATTATTATTATTATTATTATTATTATTATTATTATTATTATTGTCATCATCATTTATACACTATATTTCAATTATCATTCCTTACTAGATTACTAAAATAAGTTTTAAAAGCATCATGTACTTTGTAGCAAAGCTAAATTGTAGTACAGGTTACAAGCAAAAATATAACATACAAAGGGAAACATCCAGCAAAAATCACGAAAGAAACATGATGAGACAGCAAAAATCTCACATTAAAAACATTTTACATCAAAAATACAAAAGTAGCAAAATCACAAAACCACAACATCAAAAATACCGTACTCGCGCGAATAAGCGCCCCGTTTGAACATAAAGAAAATAGAACAGTATTTTCTCTATGGTTTGAATAAGCGCTCCTCTCGAACAACCTCCCCTCCCAACATGAAAATTTCCTTAAGCGCCCCGTTTGAATAAGGGCCCCCTCAATATTATAATAAGATTTTCTTTTTAGCAAGTCAATACTCCAATCAATCCTGGGCCTATGGTTGTTGGCATGATTTGAGCTGCAGAGTGGAAACACATTCTTCTTAGGTCAATATCAAAATGAGGATATTGGACAGAAAATAGCTCCTATCCATGGACAGACAGTACCGGTATAGCCTATAGGCCTATTTCCAACTTTACTCTTTTTACATATTTGTCTATTACATAGTCCTACTCCTCTTTTTCTTTTTCCGACCTTTAGCACATTCTCATCTGAGTTTTCAAGAAAAAATACAATGATCCTGCCATCCTGCTAATCTTAATCGGGCCGATGGCCAACAAGCTAACCACTACCCACCACCCGGAATTGCATCTGCTAGTTATGTAAATATTCACAATTCTTGTCATGAGAAATGTTCTCTGGACGATTATCTTTTCCGCCTAACTACCATTCGTATGTCCTTATAATCTTTTTCTTTCTTTTTTTAATCAAAAAGTGTCTCTTGAATTTAATAATTTCCCATAAGAACCCCCGATTTTCATCTATTTCCATAAGCGCCCCTTCAATTTCCACTCTGTTTTCAAAAGCGCCCTATTTAAATAAGCGCCCCGTTTGAATAAGCGCCACTCAGAAAGTGCAAAAAATATTTTAAGGGCCCGGGTGCTTATTCGCGCGAGTACGGTACATGAGAAACAGAACAAGAGAAACAAGCAAAAAAGCACAAAATTAAAGACAAATCAAGACAAACAGTTTTGCACTAAATGCATAAAAAAAAAAAAACAAACAAAAAAAAACACCCCAAACTGCTCCTGAAACTGAGGGAATCAATTGTGACTAAGCTAAATGTTCAGAATTAAGCAGGTTTACAAAATATGGAACAGGACTGTTTTTATACCCATTTTGTTTTACATCTGATTTGTGAAATGTGTTTGCCGTTACGAACGGTGTATTCCATCAGTTGACACCTACGATTTGGAAGCCAGTTACAGAATTATGGATGATTTTTTTAAATATTTATTTTGTACATAATCCATAATAATTCAATCCTTAATTAATTAAATAAAAAATCTCATATATTTTTGTAGTATTTAAGAAAAGCTGTTAATATGCAATATTGAATAATTATTAATCCTTTAAATTGTTTAGGGCTTTTTATATATTTTATATCAGTTGCTATTGTGTGCAATATTCGTTACTTATTTGAGGGTCAATTGGCTCTTAAGGTACAGTAACTGATTTGCTTTAGCTGTCCCTGACCATCGTTTTGTTGATTCTCTATTGTTTATTGTTTGTGGTCAAATAAATAAATAAAATGAAATTCGTTTGTACATTCCATTTTTTTTTCTTTTTTTTTGTTGTGAATTTGGAGTTCCTAAGCCGTCGTTTTACAGACTATTCGTATTATATTGGCGACGATTGCCTTTCATACTGTGAGTCAGTTTTCTGTTGCTGCTACTGCCTATATGCCCGGCGCCCACGTGCTCTCCATTACTGTCAACAACATGCAAAACGTACTATTCTACGGGCTTCGCTGTGCACTTTTTGCTGTACTGTACCGGCCTAGGCCTGAACATGTAGGCGGCCGAAGATAGTATTTTACATAAAGTATATTATGTCCTTAGTTAATATATGCGCGGTCATACGGATGCCACATCTTAGTATGGCATGCTACAGGACATTTAGAAATCGAAGAATGTACCCCTTGTTAAATATTACTACCTGTAAGTATGTAAATAAGTTGACCAAACCGGGCTAGGCTACTAGGCAAGGCCTAGAGAGGTTGGGGTGGCCTATATAGACCAGGGAGTATAGACAGGCCTAGATCTAATCTATGCAACGCTGGACCTAGGCTAGGCCTAGTACGTAGTAGAAGTTATACTAGTTGAAATACAGTTCGCTCTTCAATTCGAGACCACCCTGGGATCTGAAAATTTGGGCTGCATGGTCTCATGGTTTAGAAATCGAATTATGAAATATACAATTTAACATGAGTGTAAAGACGTTGATTGCCAGACCATTTTTTAGGTTCCTTCCCGTGTGCCAAAACAAGTTTACATGTAAAAACCTACTTTTTTGTCATTTTATCTAGGCCTAGTCATATATCATAAAAACGGTATGTCTAATCAGGGAGTTGTTAGAGCTCTGGTCTAATAAACTGGTTCGAAAATATTACGGGACGAGTAAACTCGTTGCCAGCACTGGGACAGCACTTTTTATTGGCTCTGCCTTTACTCGTCTGCTTTTTGCATGGGTTAGTGTATGTTCAGAGGATGCCCCCACTCCTGTAACATAACACAACAGACATACATACATTATTTGTACGTTATTGTCTAGGTGTATCTACAGCCCATAAGTGTCACGGCAACAACTTTAGAAATGTCGCGGCCACATTATTGAAATTCACAGCAACAGCTTTCAAAACCACACGGCACACTTTAAAAATCATGGCATACTTTCAAAATTCACCGCACTCTTTTAAAAACCACGGCACACTTTCAAAATTCACTGCACACTTTAAAACTCAAGGCACACTTTCAAAATTTACGGCAACAACAGCCGTGGAAAGTACAACAAGTGATTGTCTCACGGCGGAAGTGATAGAAATTTAAATTCTTAAAACTTTTGGCCGCCGGTGGGAACATGGGAATTGCTAAATACAACCACTTCAGCCTGGGCTACATAGGTCGGACTAGGAGACCTAGCAAATGTCCAGTCCAGCTAACCGGTCCCACTGTAGTCTGGACCTCGTTCTCTTTCACGTTAAGCTAGGCCTATGCAGAATATGACCCTGGCCTAGGCCCCTTTTCTATGCCTGGCTACTGAAGAATCCTGTACTGAATTATTATTTAATAAATAACTTTTATGCAATTACATTACAATACAGACATGGGAAAATTATCATTAATTATTATTAACTTTCAGTTACCCTTTATCTTCTTCGGGAATATAGGCCATGGCAATTTTGTTTAAAGGCATGAAAAATTAAATATGATAAATCTTAACTTCAGTAATCACACATAAACACACTCACGCATGATGATTATGAAAGGGCAAACTTGCGACGCACCTTGTAAGGATCATGGCTTAAATAAGCCTAATCGGCCCAAAAAAAAAAAAAAGAATAAATAGCAATCATGTTGTAAGAATTGTAATTTTTATTTATTAGGCCCATTTTCTCTTCCAGTATAATTGTTCATCCGATTAAAATTGGAAAACTCATAGACTTAGTATTTTATTGTAGTAGCCTGTGAAGTAGTAATATCCTGATTATACCATTGATTGTTTTCATTTTTTTTCTATGATTACAGCCTCCCTACCCATATGTATTTACTCTTTGCATTGATAATATTCCAGAGATCCTAATTCAAAAACAAAAATCAGGGACATAGGCCTAACTTATTATTATTATTTTGTCTTATTGTTTGTACGGTATTGTATTTTGCTATGCCTTGTGATTACCAGGGTCCCCTTTTTTTAAACTGAAACAACCACTTCAGCCAAGGGAGCGTGGCTTCTTATGGTGATGACACGACATGCATAATTTCAGCTGTACTACGTCTTAATTCCTAATCTTCAAGACAAAGAGTGGGCCCTGGTAAACAAGAAGTTTAGATACCAAAAGGTCCACTGATTAATCTCAGATAAGAAAGTATAATACATACTCCAAGTATTGAAATACACGCCATCGTGTTGGGATTCAATATTTCGACATTAATTATGTCATCATCAGGAATGAAAAAATTATCCATATTAGCAAGCTTATATGCACTAGTACCAAAAGTGTTTAACCAATCAAAACATTACCTCTAGTAGTAGTTAAAAACTGTGAGGCATTCCAATATGTTTTAGGATTACAGGGTATACTTGAAAATGATAATGTCGTCTGTAATGTAAGTAATAAATTAGGTTTAATATTTTCTAGTACTAACATTATTGACAGCTCCCGAAACTGGTCTATCCTATTGTTTAAAGAAGCGTTCGCTATACGTAGACTACACCCTTTGCTTAACAATGGGCTCAGAGCTTCAAAAGAGCTTTCTTTGTTTGTGTAGGTATCTTTGATCATTAGAGTAAGAATGCTTTGATCTTTTGTTTAAATCACTGCTATGTCACCTACTAGAGGTAATGTTTTGATTGGTTAAACACTTTTGGTACTAGTGTACACATCTAGATGTGTATAAGAGACAGGCTTGCTAATATGGATAATTTTTTCATTCCTGATGATGACATAATTAATGTCGAAATATTGAATCCCAACAAGATGGCGTGTATTTCAATACTTGGAGTATGTATTATACTTTCTTAAGAAGTTTAGACTTATGATTGTTTTGATTTTTTAACTGATTTAATAAAAAAATTTGTCATGACTACAGGTATATTCCAGAAAAGAAAGGGTGACGGAAAGCTAATAAATAATAATTCAATTATATATTACCTTTCCCATTTCTGTATTGTACTGTATAAAAGTTATTTATTAAATAATAATTAATATTCAGTACAGGATTCTTCAGTAGCCAGGCCTAGAGGAGGTTCCTAAGCCAGGGTCATACAACAGATTCTGCTTTGGCCAATCTTGACGTAAACGAGGCCTGGACTAATGGGACCGGGTTACCTGGAGTAGGCCTAGGCTGAAGATCTCATAGTCCAACCTAGCCCAGGCTGAAGTGGTTGTATTTAAATAGCAACATGTTCCCGCCAGCAGCCAAAAATTTTAGAGGTTTAAATTTCTATCACTTACGCCGTGAACCTCACGGCAGAAGTTGTACTTCCCACTTAGAAAGTTGTGATTTTAAACGTTTGATGTGACATTTCAAAAGTTGTTGTCGTGAATTTTGAAAGTGTGCCATAGTTTTTAAAAGTGTGCGGTAAATTTTAAAAGTGTGCCATGACTTTTTAAAATGTGCCGTGTGATTTCGAAATTTGTTGCCGTGAATTTTGAAAGTGTGCATTGACATTTCGAAAGTTGTTGCCTTGACACTTATGGGCCACCGTATGTATCTATATGTATCTGATCCGAACTACTAGCCATTAGTCTGTTGTTCTACAATGTACTGTATAACAAATACGTAATAAACCCTAGAATGTTACCCCAATTTTGACAAGTATAGTCGTCACTAGCGCCCTCAGCAACAGCCTGTGGGACGAGTATACACGTCTCTTGCAGCGAACGTGATTTAAAGAACTTTCTTATGACTGCAAGTATAAGTAATTTCCGGTCTTAGAGATGCAATTCTTCAAAAATCTTCTGGCTAGCCCCAATCAAGGAGAGAAAAAAGAAAATTATATTCAAATGTAAAGTCTGATAGTGCTATTTCCTGACATCTAGAGGTGCCATGTTCGTAAATTTCCTTACCTCGGCTCCAAACACGGTGGGGGTGGGGCTGAGGTACAGTATGGTGTGGCATTGAATGTATGTGGTTATGTGTGCGAAGTAGCATGACTAGGCATACTCCCGAAGCAGAGAAAGTTGCACAAAAACGTGCGGGTTTGCCAACTAAGTATCCACTGACCAGGGAAATACTGATGCTAGTGCCTGTATATTCTCCCAAATGTGAAAGCGCCACATAACTTAGGATTCTAAAAAATAAAAATAAAAAAACTGCTTATTACATTACAATATCACATTTTCGTTCCACTAAATCAATCAACAAGTATTTGTAAAAAGCCAGTATCCACAGCAGAATGCAATGGTAGTAGTACTATTTCCTGATGAGGATGTGTGACACGTCAAAACATGTTGTCGATTTAGTTTCATTTAATCTAAATTTGTTTTCAGAATTATTATCTGTGGACTTTTTACTAGTGTAATATTAGAGTTTAAAATATATTTGACCTTGGAGAATCACTTATGTTTGGCTACCCTACACTTCTGTTGTATATTTTTGTTGATATATGATGGCCACAAAATATGGGTAAATGAAGTTTGTTACTGTATTCATACTTTTTTTAGCTCTGATGAGGAGCTCAACGAATACTCTGCTGATTGATTAGTAATAGGTAATAGATCTTTTTTTTTTGCATGAACGACTGTTAGGGCCAATTATTTTTATTATTATTAGCGGCAAATTCTTTTTTAAGATTCAAGGTTCACGAAAGTATATTTGTCCATATAAAAATACAGAAAATTGTGTTATTATTTTTAGCTCCGATGAGAAGCTCTAAAAAAACTCAGCTGATTTATTCGGTTCAGTTTTGAATGGTGGATGTGCAGGAAATTTTGTACACATAAACTAGGGGCGACTTCCAACAAATGTTCATAGCCCTTTTTTTAAGTTGCACCCCAGTGTGCTTCATACACTACAAAAGAAAACAGGGGTTTCAACAAGGACTGTACATTACTGCCATTACCACTATTATGCATGTCGCATGTATGGTGCAGTTGGTTAACTGCGCCATCCATGCGATGGCTTTATAAAAACAAAGGCTGTGAGTTTGAATCTCGTCTTATTATTCAATTGTTATTTTTTTTTAAAAAATATATTTTAATTTTGTACAAATTATTTAATATAATTATTTAAAAAAAATCTCTAGAAGTACTCGTCTGAATGATTAATTAATTAATGGATCTTTTTTGAGAAGTGTGCCTCCAATACCAAGGACTGTACATATTGCCATTACCACTAATAGGACATGTATAGATTGCACGGTCAGTTAACGATGTGTACTATTGAACCAAAGGCCGTGAGTTCGAATCGTGCCTTAGTATTCAAATTTTTTTCAATTTTAAGACATTTTTTTTTTTCAATTTTAAGACATTTTAATTTTTGTACAAGTGAACATAATTCTTTAAAAATTTCTATCTTGTTAGCTCTTCCAATTTTTAGCTCCGATGAGGAGCTCTAGGAATACCTGGCTGATTGATAAATAGATCTTTTTTGTGCTGATTGTTTAATAGATCTTATGTGTATGGGTGGCTGTTAGGGCCAATACACTTTACTTTGTCTATTATATTGCCCTAGTCAGAGTTTAAGTTTAAGTTACATTTAGGTAAGATTAGTGTTAGTTGTGTAGTTAAGATGTCCTGGGTATGATGTTAAAATGCATCCACTCGAATTGCCGGCAACTAACTAGCAACCCCATCTACGGCCTTAGTGACCTTTGGATGGGAGGGTGAATGGTCACCCAGCAGCAATAAGAAAAATAGCTGAACAAAGGGTGGATGAACTCCTCGGAGCCAACGGCCAAACCATGCTTAGTTAAGGAGAAGAATTAGATAAGTATCATTCTATTTGTATTCTTATTTATGTTAAGCGAATAGAGGTCTCTATCATATGTGCTCTATTAAAGTCGACCATTATTATTATTATTATTATTATTATTACGAGACCTTGCTATATTTTAGTTTCAGTAAATATGTGTTAGCATCTGTTGCTATGTGTTTTTTTTTTTCTCTTTCAGTATTAGATGGAAAAATTCACCAGTTGCATTCCCAAAATAATGATATCGTCAATAAAGTAGGCAAATGTGCTACAAACAGCTCACAGATGCAAATAGGCAACCAAAAGATTTTTGAGGAAAATGCAGTTGAAGTAAAGGAAGACCACAACACAAACGGCAAAACTAGCAATCAGAACATGACCAAGTTTGAACCATCATTGAATGCACAACCAAAAAAGCTATTAACAGAAAATAACACAAATGAAGACATACCACTTTTCAACTCAAAAAACAAGTTACCAAACAAGCAACCTACCAAAACCAAAAATTTCCGGAAAGTACAAGGCAAGACTACTAAATCGCCGTTACTATTGAAACATGATAAAACAACAGAGATAAGCAAGAAGAAATTAAAAAATCAGAAGAAGCTGAAAAATTCCCAAACACAGAAATTCCAAGTATCTAAAAAAAAAAGCATTGATGAGAAACGTGTTCCATTGTCACAATCCCAGCAGCAAGCAAAGAAAAGTCAGCTATTTAGTAAAAAGGAAAAGATGGAAAGTGAAAATTTGTTGCTGGAGAGAACTTCAAATAATTACACTGCAGAACATATAGAAAACTACAATGATGCTAGTAAAAATGAAAATTTGAATGCATCAAGCAAACATTTTAGATCACTAAAGGAAGTTGAACATATAGGAGGACAATCCATGCATTTACGAAAGGGTAAAGAACCAAAAACCAGCCTTTCATCCAGTGCACTAATTTCACATCAAAGGTATTGCAAATGATTTTTCTGAGAAGTTCTTAAAAGAATGTGATAATTTATTACTATTAAGCAATTAGTATAGCTGTGCATAGTACTGTACACTAGCGGAAAATTTTATTAAGGTTAGATTTAATGCATTTAAAAATTTCCTAAGAGCCTGCAAGGCCTGAAGGAAATCTTTGAATGCATTAAATCTAACCTAAAGGATAATAATTTTCCCCCAATGTATGATGTTTGAAGCTATAGGCCTACTAATTGCTAGTCAGTCCCTGTCGGTTGCAATATGATCAGTATACTCTGTGTGTATTGCATTTATCTGTTTGTATGCTGATTGTTGCTATTGCAATAAATGCTAAAACACAGTGACATTGCACATCATTACGGATACGATGAATATACATATATAATTGTGTTTAAAAAAGAATGCTATTTTGATAGACATTCATCAAACAAATAAACATTTCTTAAAGCAATTTGAGGTAATACAGTAATCACTTTTTGGTCAGTGCAGACAGGTAAAATCGTGTGATAATTTTGTATCTGGGCTAGGCTACGATCTAGGCCTAGGTGGCCTCCTGCCTACATCTTATTTCGTTTCTTGAGTTTTTAAAATAGATCTAGAATATTTCTATTAAATGTTCAGTTTCTTTAGCTTATTAGGGTCCATTATTTCAAGGAATTCCTTAATTTTTCATACATAATAATCTGAAGTAACTTTCTTCATGAAGGAGCAAATCTCCGTGGAGGCTTTCGTTTCTGCCCATGCTCTTCTTCATGCTGTTGTCATCGTCATCGTCATTGTTGTCGTTCTGGTCTGTGTTTTCGATGTTGTTGGGTAAATTGTTACCACGATAACTAAAGTTTAATTGGTATCAAACTTGTCAGAATGCAAAATGGTAAAAAGAAGACGAAACCTATTGTTTTCTGTATGTGTGAATATGCTAATTGCTCATTTGCATAATTAATATTTACTAATTTAGGCTAGTTAACACAATAAATAAAGTTTGGTAAGTTTGATTGGTTTTTAAACTTCACGGAATGCAAGATGGTAATAAGAAGACAGAGCCTATTGTTTTTGGTATGTATGTGGTTATGCTAATTGCATACAATTAATATTTCATGAATGAGGAAATAATACGTACAGTAAATACCATCATCATAATTCCCATAAAAACTCCTAATCTAATAATAGTTGAAATTGTAATATTCTTCATGTTGTTGTCATTGTCACTGGTTTAGAAAATTGTTTATTACCATGATAACTAAAATTTGGTAAGACTGATTGGTTTCAAATTACTACTCATCAATTCTCAGAGAAAAATCACAACATGTGGAGGCTATGCTTTTGCTGTGCAGCGTAAAAGGAGTATTTCCAGTTAACTTTGTTTTACGCAATTAATTTTTCAATTACCACTTGTCAACAAATGTCGATGGTGGCAAGTGTCTGTCCTCTCTTTCTGCAGGCGCGAGTTGTAGTGCTAGGTGTGAAAACACTGGCCTACAATTCAAAAAAGAGAAGGCAATGCTGAAATAATTCATAATAATATTTACAATACCTTTTAATCCATTAAACAAATGTCTACATTCTACCAGAAGTTCAGGCATACCAAATCAATTATTAATTTTTTGTATCGCGAAGAGTTGCAAATAGTGTCAATGTGCATACTACTAGCAAATCATGAGATTCTCATATGTGCAGCTAATGCACACACGCAGTTAGTGTTTTGATACTACTGTAGGGAGCTTTCGATTTGTTCGACGACGCAACGCTAGAACAGAATGACTCATGTATGAATGCCTACCAGTCGTCCTACATTCTCTGCATACATGGAAATTGCATCCTAGAATCCATGCGACAAGGAAAACTTAAAGTTCTTGCATGCGCAGATGACTTTTAGTGATGTCATTACATTCTACGTCCTACAGTCGTCGTGCAACCGATAGCTACTGCAACCAGCAGTTTGATTTAATATTATATACGGTAGCCTATGTATATGTATTTACGCACATAAGTGAATAATTTTAATACACTTAATAATAATTGTAATACCCTCAAACTAACACATAGACAATTATCAGACAGTGTTGTGTTGTCAAGCAAAGCAGTGTGTGTGCCTGTCTTATTGAAAAGATAATCACATATATTTAGCAATGGGTGCCTTTATGTTTGGTGATGTGAATGACAAATTCAACCACCAATTATTTCACAACAATTATAAATATTATATTCTAATATTAAAGTCTAGATGACCTCATAAAGCATTTAAAATGTTTCTTCAGTTTATATGATTTCAGATTGTAGATAGCTAAAGATATTGTTAAGCACAGTAAGGGATTTCAATATAGTCACCAGTCTTAACTGTTTTAATTAATTTAGCTAAATATGCCATTAAAAAAATTCATTTAAAAATTTGCACAGCTGATAAAAATCAAGAACAAAGACCAGTTCCACCTTTAACAAGAAATCTGATTTGTAATACTGCAATAAATTATTGTTTTTTATTCAAAGGGAACAGAAAGAGTTTGAAGAGACTGCAGTAGAAGTTGATGTAGGTGAGGATAATAAAAGCAGCCATGCTTTTACAAAAAAGATGAAGCATAAAGTTAAAGCTACACCAAACAAAAAGGTTCCAGATTCAAATCAAATGCCACTTCATAAAACATACTTCACTCATCCACACTCCTACCTGTTACCTTATCTTGAAGTATGTATATTTACTGGTATGGTAAGTTGCACTTTTGTTTATTTTCCTCTTAACATATTAAATTGATAATTGGCCAATAGAGGCATTCGGCGATGATTGTTTACAGCCGGTCACATGACTTACTTGGGTATACATGAAAGAGATTACAATGTGATAGTATATGAAAAGATAATGTTATGGTTGCGAAAACAACCATCCACTGTTAAGGTAAGAAATAAATGCTAGGAAAGGCAATATTTACTTATCCAAGCCTTCTCCAAGGATTGTATGCTTTGAAATTTAAGTGATCCTTCATAAACCTTAGGTAGCACTAACATCTCTGCGTAGTTCACAGGTTCAAGACAATCATGCATAACTAACCATGCCATAGATGTGTAGGGGCCTAGGCCTAACATTTGTTGGAAAATCTCAATGTTTGCGGCCAGTTTCCTTAAAGCATTAGCAAACCATTAAGGCAAAATTCTCAAGTTAAATTTCCAATCAATTTGGTATAGTTTACTAGGAATTATGATGATCTTTAACAATAAACAAAGGAAGGCCGCAATAGCAATCTCCATGTAAAACAACGCTGTGTCATTCAATTGTTTATATCCAACACCCAAGTTAGGTCATGTGAAGCCCATTGCCGAATCTCTCTATTGGCTATGGTACCAGTGTCCTGTTTAGTTCTATATTTAATACAAGTGTATGTAAAGGCACTGTCTGTTGAACACACACAAAAACATTATTTGGATTGCTTGCTTTTCTATTCTGTATGCCGATGTTATGCAGACTTCAGATTACAGTAGGTCCCAAATGTTTCACATGTTTGACATCGTTTCACCCACCAACTGCTGACCAGTTGGATTGAACTTACCGTATTCAAATGACCAAGTCGTAAAATTAGTTAAATTTTTCAATTCCGCTGGTTACATACCTGTTTTAAAATGTAGGAAACAAGCATAAGAGTTCATACTGTAAATATTCCCACTCGCAGTACTATACCTGTAATAACATGATGATAATCTTCTGTAGTTGTCCCGAGCAGAATTGATGTTCCAAAAATTCAAGTATTCTATGCCATTAGATGTAGAGGTGTTCAATGTTCTTCTTCATGGATGGGCAAAAGAGGTAACTTTTTTTGTTTTTTTTATTCGTAAAAACAAATAATGACATATATTTCCACTGACCTTATTTTATTATTGTGAAATTACACACAAAAAAACTATGCCAGTGGACCTAGTCTGGGTATTAAACAGGGTTCGTATCAATCCTAGAATTCCTTGAATGTCCTGGAAAAACAAATGAGTCTTGTCCAGTACTGAAAAGTCCTGGACATTTAGGATTGTCTTTGAATGTCCTGGAAATTTTATCATTTACCATTTATCCAGTACTACAAGTTGCCTAGTAACAGTAAATTAAATGAGAAACGTTCCCACAAGTAGGTTCCCATGATACTCTTGGGAGAAGCAGGTCAAGTCTTTGTACGCCGCCAATTTAGGAATGTTATTGAAAAGACAGAAAGAATGTCAAATGCTGATAATAGACTACCTGGTTCAGTACAAACTTGTGCGATTCAGTGAATGGAGTTGTTCGCCTATGCATTCTTAATCTTGTATATTAATTATGTTTACATGTAATTTTGATTTAGACATTGATAATCATTATCATTAACTTGTTGATTTTTGTTATAGTGTTTATATATTTGCTTCCTGTTGTGTGTTAAAAACAGAAATACAGTAATAAGTTCTTTCAATCAGTTAAATAGTACTACAGCCCGGTGAATTTGCTTTGGGTAATTCATCACTTTCACACTTGTTCTGCACGAATGGGCATGTTTTGGCCCTATCCTGTACAAGGCAGTTAATCAACAATTAATGTAACCATAGGAACGTGTACTTCTACAGTTACTTTGTTAATTAAGGGCGTTTGTGTTTTTTGTTAATTAAGGGCGTTTGTGTTTAAAGGGCATTTACAGTTAAAATAGTCCTTTTTAGAGCAAGGTATTTTATTAATTAAGTTTCTAAATTTTACAAAATCATTGAAAAAAACAATGCTGGTAGGATGGTGAGAACCCTGTCACACTTTAACATTTGCTTTATATGTAATACATTATAAAAGTTTACGTAGGCCTACAACATGATAAATGTCCAAATACATAGATAAAATTAACAACATAGGCCTATAGTAATATACCACGTATCAATATAATAATAGGCCCAATAGTAGTGAATAATAAAAATAATAATACAGTATAATATGATGATGTGTAGAGAATAGAGCATAGCCATAAATTAAATTAATTAATAATACAGCACATAGTTTATACAAGTTTAAACATTTATAAACACCTAAATATATGTATGAAATAAAATAAATTAACATCTCCGCAATGTACACCCATCGAAGTAGCCTATATTTTTTTTACGGTATATTTGTGCCAACTTCGCACAGCTGAGATAGCTAAGTTAGTTATCGTTCGCTGAAAAAAAAAGCGTGGTCATGCGGGTACTCCACCCCTCGGCACCACAAAAGCCAGTTTTAAGCAATAAGAAAAGAATTGTACTCGCACATTTGTGTTGCCGAGGAGAAAATTCTACTCCGGTTCAACCATGCCCTACCTTAACTTGTGTGAGAAAAACAGATTTCCCCACAAGCGTGAGAAAAAGAGACAGATCCATCGCCTCCGAATTAAAGTTGCATAAAACTTAATATACACTAAACTAACATGCATTTAAAATTAAGTACAGCAGCCATACATGTTTTATAATCTATTGTAAAATAGTCAATTTTTTTACTGTTAAGCGATATGAAGTGTCCTTGAAATTTGGAAAATTTTACCTGGAATTGTCCTGGAAATTTGCTTGTTTAAAAATTTTTTTTTATTTTATTTTTTTTTTATTCATTCTGGCAAAAACAATTAACAATATAAAACATTACAAATACAAAAAAGAAAAAAAAAATCAGAAATTCACAAACAAAGAATAATCAGGTGAGCCAGGGAGCAGCAAAAGCGGAACAACTGTCATCTTAGAGATGTGCTGCTCCCAGAAAAAAAAAATGAATAAAAAATTTTAAAAAATAAAAAATAAATAAATAAATAAATAAAATAATAATAATAATGGAATAAGAGTAATGATAAACAAAAAAAATCATTAACATATTTTTTAACTTGCATTTGAACAAATCAAATTATGTACGAACCCTTGTTAAAGATAATTTTGTACTGCCTTAGGGAATCCTAAATTGCCACTTCGAGCGAAGGCCAATTCGAACGAATTCGAGCGGAATTTTTTTCAAGCGGATGCTAGTTTGAGCGGAAGAAGATCCACTTGTGCGAACAACAACCTATGTGAGTTATATACGAATTACTTCAAAATTTCCTATTTTGAGCTAAAAATTTTACATTTTCAAAGGGGAAGGGGGCACACAACAGTTCCAGAATAGATAAGTGAGTAGCATAACTCAATTACAAATATAATTTGAGCTAAAAATTAGACATTTTCAAAGGGGAAGGGGGCACACAACAGTTCCAGAATAGATAAGTGAGTAGCATAACTCAATTACAAATATAATTTGCTTTTTTAAATAGAGAACCCCAACCAGTGGCGGATCTGGGGAAGTGGGGGTGGTTAATAGGGTGGCTAGCCACCCCACTTTGTTTACCGTGAAAAAAATAATGTGTGTGCTTCTCGTGCACTCTAGTAAAACATACACTTCTTCTTTTTTAAGCTGAAAAGTGCGCAGTTCTATTATAGTTTTAACTTGTTAAAGGCCGCCTTGGTAGTCGGAGTTGCCAAGACTGTAATTCAAACATGGAGTATTTATCAAAAAGTACTAAAAACCTTTCAGGACCTTAGTAATCAGAGCATTTTTTGCATTTAAAACAAACAAATACAAGAATATGGCGACGATAAATTCGCCCTTGTTATAGTTCGCACTAAATGCATCCGCTCGAACTGGCATCTGCCCGAACTGACATCCGCTCGAATTGACTGGCATCCCTTGGAAAAATGTGCTTTATATATTCCTGCCCGTTTTTAAAATTGGTTTAAATTTAGTACGCTCTGATCTTCATGAAAATGCGCTATCGAAATGGTATTATGTATTGTATTAAAAATATTAAAAATGTTATGTCCAACCACCTGTACACATTAAAAAATAATGGTCAAATAAAATTATCTCATTTCTGGCCAATGTGATTCAACATCCTATTCACAAATGCTATCCACACCAATAAATACCAGTCAGAAATATAAAAATGTTTTAGAGGTGATGATGTCTCTCTGCATTTCCTCCCACACTGTATGGTGGATGTCATAGATAGATTCTCTGACGTATTCTATGAAGGCTTCTTACTTGCAGTCTGTATTGGGCCTCACCATCTGCTGCATCAGTTTCTTCTGCATCTCAAAGAACTGATCAATCTAGTTAGTGACTGTTGAAGAGAAGGACTCAGCAGTTTTAGGAGTTGAGGAACGAACATGTCGTATGGCAAACCGTGTGGAAACGTCCGTGAACAGGTTGAGGACGGGTTGAAACTTGTTAAGAACGGACTGCAACAACATCAAACGTAACGTCTTCTCGTTTTAAACTTTTGCAAACGTTGTACAAACCATCTGCAATCGTAATGCACTTACTTCAAACTGTGTTGTGTCGTAGCAAAAGCAAAAATTGCATGTTTCAACCTGTCCTCATCCCGTTTCATGAAATTTTCAGAACGGGCAGGAACGTTTAGTGTATAGGGGGCATAAGGAGCAAGCTAGGTGTGGGGAAGAATATGGATTTGTGGGTAACCAATTGCAAGTGAATAGTCATTAAGTAATCAGTAAATAATCTCTTTTAAAATTTAATTTTCCATATATCATTTCTTTCTTATAGGGTGATTTAAATAAGATTAGAAAATTGTTCAAGGAAATGGGAAAACTAGGTGTAAAAGCTGATTTGCAATCTTATGCTGCAGTACTGGAGTGCATTGGAAGGTAAATGTTTTGCTTCAATCAACAATACAATAGTGACCTTTTATCCATAAATTTTAGAAATTAGGTTTACCAATTATAGATCTTGTTGCATAAAAGCATTTGTAAAGGTAAGTTTTTCCTTGAAAATTGGCCATTCACTGAACGTCTACTACAGTAGCACTCTTGGTGAAATCATCTCATTGCCAGCCTCAGCAACTACTCTGCTGCATCCCTCATCTCTAAGGGTATGTTCACACACACGGCGTAAGGCTGGTGTGGCTTACGCAAGGTGTAAGCTAATCCATGAATTAAAATTCCGAGGTGTTCACACGAACGGCATTCGCTATTAACGCCTGCCGTTAAAAATGGAAGTGCGTCAGCAACCTCTTTCGAAACATGATGATGGGAAGACTAGTCACATTATTATTTATACTTTCATGGTTGTTGTACACGCTGTTTCGATCGATTATGTTGCCTAACGATTTACTGTCTTCGCTTTTGCCTTTTTTATTTCTTTTTGTTGAAGAAAGTGTAGCTCATGAGTTAAATAATGTAGGCCTAGACACGAAAAACCGTGCTTGTTTGCTTGGTTTTGGTCAAGTATATCAAGTCAATTCGCCATAGACAACTTCGTTGTCAGCAACTGAGGATGGAACTTCTTTGACATTTAATCCAAGAGGAACGAGTAGGAGCCAACATTCTGTATGATCTGTATGATTTTCTTATCCAAACAATAGGCCTACACTCTCAAAATAAAATCCCACAAAGAAAAACACAGTGAACACTTCGCGCGCTTTTGGTTCTAGCAGAGCTAAGCTAGCTGACTTGTTTGTTTATTGCAAAACTAATCGTGATTGGTACATCTCTTGACCTGAGGTCAAAATCATTCAAGCATCACTGGCGTTAGCTCCATGGCGTTAGCTAATCTGGGGGTCTGCAGATAGCGTTGATAACGCCAAGGACGTGGCGTAGTGAGTGGCGAACAATGCCATTGCCTAGTTCACACACAAAGGTGTACGCTACGCCAGGCTTAAGCCAGCCTTACGCCATGTGTGTGAACATAGCCTAAGGTTTGTAAACCCAATCCCCATTTCTGTTACTAATGGTCATTGGTGAAGGAGGTCAAGTAAGCATCTTAAGTTTGTAGCTTTAATACATGTCATAATATTACGTGCAATAAATCTAACTAAATATAGTGTATATTCTTGTGTTTAAGGCGATCGGCGTACAAGGCGACTGCCAAGTTTGAGATGATTTTTGAAGCCCCTACTTTTTGCTGCTAATTATGATCTTGATACTGCATCCAACTGGCTGAAAACAGAGCCAAATGTAGGGCTAATCTTCCAAATAGTACCAATTTATGCGCTTTTAAATGGTCATCCAATTCTTATTCCCAGCCCTTATCATTCATACTAACCAAAAGCTTCATTTTAGTAGTAAATTTCCGTTTTACGTACAATCAGCACATAAGACGAACATGATTTAAAATTAAAAACTTTGTATGTGTTGTGGGTATAAGACAACTCCTGTTTTACAATCGTAAACTGCTATTTTAATCCTCGTCTTATGCGCGAGAATATACGGTATTAAAAATATTTTTCAATTCAATTAAATTTTCTTTATTTCATAGTAAAGTACAGTACTGTACATGTAAAATTTGCATATAACATATAAACCATACTCATATGATTGATGTGACTGATATATAAACTTGAGTAATGGTAGAAAGGTAGGAAAGGATCTAGGCCTGATTGTCGAAACCCAGTTTGCCGAGTGCTCGATTGCCGACTCAAAAACCATGAATCCCAGTTTGTCAAAACCCAGTTTGCCGAAAGTCAATTAAAAGCAGTAAAATATGAACAATAGCATAAAATAGCAGCTTAGTGTAGTTACGATTCTTTTTTTCTTATTCTTTCTAAACAGTGGCGGCTCTAGGATATATTTTCTGGAGGGGCTAAGTTGTCCGACAGGGGGACTTGAGCTCGTAGGCCCGAGCTGGGAGAAGGGGGCTGAGATGGGGTTCTCCTCCCAAATGAGATTTATTTTTAAGAATAGCAACCTCTGGATGGCTGGAAATGGCACTCAGACTGTGACAGACATGTGTTGGCTTGGTGTGGGCCCATTTTTATATGTTTTATGGTCTGACTGAAGGGGCTTGACATGCCCGGTGGGGGACTTAAGCCCCCTGTCCCCCCGCTGGCGCCGCCACTGTCTCTAAATCAAACTTTATTACCAATTTGGCTATTGGCACAAAAAAAATGAATTAATTAAATAGGTCAGATAAAATACTTATAAGCATATTTATAATAGATATATACCGTTTAACTAAGATACCTTTACTTGCTTACGCTGTTTTGTCTTGGTGAGATTACCTGGTAAAAAACTGTTTACCAAGCTGGATTAACCATGATGTCCCTAATGGGGAAGGGGTGATATCCCCAATGGAAAGGCTGATTTTTCCAAAGGCAAAGTGGAATGGAAAATAGGCCTTTCCATCGGGACATCACCCCTTCTCCCACCAGGGACATCGGCCATACGCTGAGTGGCATTTCACCCAACCCCTTCCTCTATTTTGGAACATCAAAATCCTGTCGAGCAAATATCAGCACCATGACTCTGGATCCGATGTCCCTTAAGGGGGGAAGGGACGATGTCCCTGATGGAAAGTCTGATTTTCCCGACAGCAAAGTGAGCAGGGACAGGAACGGCCAAGCACCACTCAGAGGGGTTCTGAAGAGCGAATCACTGGGAAACTCCCAACAATTAGGGATTTGTTTGTTTGATTGATGCGAATCCCCTTTTAAGCCATACTCTCTGATTAACCAAAAAAGCTTGCATTCAATACTATTCACATGATGAACTTTGACATTTAAATGCTAGAACTTCAAATACTGAGGCTTTCCCCCTCCCCATCGTACACCTCCCCATCGTGCCTCTCCCTGAATCCCACCATAGGCATATAGGTTCCTCCTAGGTCTCCTAGATACCTGATATAGATTCCTGGTTACGACAGCCTACAAATTATATAGGTCTATGCTTAGAGTATTTCAAATCTATGAGAAGTCATTGAAGTTTACCTGAAAATGGGTGGGGGCTTCACTATAATGACTATAACTTTTTTCCCCAAGGAGGATTGTAGAGCAGTTTTCGCATGTTGAAGAGGACACCAGTGCACATCGATTGATACCTTAAAAAAGCTTTAACAATTTTTTCCCAGTACACCAGTAAAACGACCAGACTATATACAATCTTGCTGTTGTAAAAAGAAATATTACTAGAATAGAAAATATTAAACTGTTAATGGTATCTATTTTAAGGAATAATGTCATTTCTTCAAATGCCGCTTTGAAATGTATCAGTGAGATGAAAAAAAATGGGCTGGATGTGCATAACATACTGTCAGTCAGATTGACTGAAGATCAGAGAAACTGTGTTGTTGATGCATTGCAGAAAAGTTGTCCTTCAGCTATAGTTCAACGGGATTTTAAACCACATGTTTGCAGAAATCGGCTTGTGGAGGACTACTACTGTGAACATCACAATCAGGTGGTACGTGTGCTCATTTAAATTAGAAGTAGTATTCAGCTTTGCTCAACTAGGGCAATAATACTTAACTTTCTTATTATGGAGTATGGATTTTAAAATAAATTTAGACAGTATAAACTGGAAATTTAACATTATAAATATAGTTTAAAATTGAATTCTATTTTTAAAAAAGGCTGTTAAATTTCTGTAATATTTTGTAATTTGTTATTTTGTAAATTTTAGATGAAAGCTTTTGAACTTTTTTTGGGGGCTAATATTTTTTACAGGATATACGTGATGAATCAGAAAAAGTGTCAAAAAATATAAATTTTAAAGACATGATGAAGAATATAATGGAACAGGTGAAAATTGAGGAATGTGGTCATATGAAAGTGAAATCAGTTGACATTGAAGATAAAGTGAGCCCTCAAATACAACTTAAGGTTTGTAGTCTTACTTGTGTGTTGGGCGAGAACGGGAAAACGTTACATAGGGTTCTTACCGGTATTGTATCCATGGGTGGTGTACTGGCTCGTGCAGAACTGGGCTTTCAAAAAAACCAATAACCTCAGACGTAAAACCTAAGGTATTATGCAAATGATGAATTTCTATCAAGTTGCCCTGGACCCTTACGTCAACTAGCTGCATCGCCCCATGCTGTAATTAAGAAACAGACTTTGGTGTAGGTCCACTGCATTAATCAAAATCAAGTAAATGAAATTACCGAAGAAGCTACAACAATAATAATGTATACATAGCAAACTCCCAATAAATGGCAGATGTGCATTTTGGGCGTATAAACCATGAATAAACTTTCATTCGTTTGACAATTGTAGTTTAAAAACAGAAAATTACTACCCCTGTTAAACGAATAAGCAGTGGTGCCATGATCATTTATGCATGTGGCGGACGTGTAACAAGGTAACAATCTGGATTCTAGGCTAGCCCTCAGTTGAAATAATTCCAGTGTTCACTCCATAGAAAATGCACCCTTGGATCTGTACTCTGGTAGCAAAAAGAACTTTCCAGGTCAGCAAACCTTTCCAGTGTCTGCACATTTAGAAGTTACACATTAATTTTGGTTATGTGACTAACAATCTATTGGTTGTTTATTGTTGAAGAAATTATAAAAATAGAGATGGTTGCTTTTAACTGATTGATCTGTATATGTTAATTTAAGGGGTTTTTTCTGTTTAGATACTAATTTGCTAGAAGAATTTGTCCTCAAATTTATTTTGGCTGGTATTAACGAAACTCGCATTTATTCAACAGCGAAAACACCTTAAAGAACATGATCAAGAATGGCGAAGTTGTCTGTCTCGAGCTTTTGATGAAGTCAAATTTGGTCATAACAACAAATCTCTTAGTGGAAGTATGTGACATTTCCAAGAATTTGGAAATTTTAAAATAATTTGTGATAATTATGATAGTAAATATGAAATAAACAAATTTCTGTTCTACAAAAAACTTATGATAGTGATAAAATAAAATATATAATTATTATCACTACATTTTTATTTAAGAAACATCTTTAGAAAGACCTGCAAAATAATGCAGTATAATGAAACATGCATCAGTGTGCCATTTACCTGCAGATAACCATCAGTCCTGTACTTTGCACAAAACAATAACAATTGCAAATCAAATTTATTATTGCCATCCACCTCAGCCACACCATTGTTGGTAGGTCAAGTGGCAATTTCATCCACTGCTGGATCAGCCATTGATAGCATAATGCCACTTTTTTTATTTCAGATCTTGCTCTTAAATGTCATTAATCACTATATATATTTTTGTATGTAATCAATTTTTGTAAAGAATACTTAATTCTAATGATTTATATGTCATTGTTTTTTAGTTGCCAATTTTTATCCATTTATGTGCTTGTTTGACACTGAGGAGTATGTGGACATAATGCTGCAAACTTTACATACCCTAGCTACTTCATCAGAAGGAAATGCTCGCGTTAATTTGTCAGTAGAGCTTGGACAGAGGCTATTTCACAAATATGTCATAATGAAAAAGATAAAGACAGGAGTGAGCAAGAAGGTATGGTACTCTTCTTTTTTGAATTTTGTTAAAATTATTTTAACAAAAGAGATGTATAACCATACAAGTATGCATGTGGAACCTAAAAACCTAAGCCTATATCAGCGATGAGAATTTAATGAAGAGGACTACATAGTATTGTCATAATCAGTGTGTGAATACAAAATGGCACTATTGTTTGACTTTATATTGTGGAGAGTGGCCAACAGCGCTTTGTAAGGAAAAGAGCTATACAAGTAACAAGTATAGAAGGTCTTGATCAACAGAAGTTAGCGTATCGTAAAACATTTGAAAGATAATGCCACAGGATGCCTTTTTGAGGAACCTGCTTATAACAGTGAAATGTTGTGAATATTTCATCAACAAACACTGTCTGAATTTTATGATTGTCAAATAAAAATATTTTTAACTTGAAACGTGCCAAGAATAAACAATTAAGTCCAATGGTTTTGTGGGATCCTTCTGGTGAGGAATTGAGTACTACTCAACAAGGGATAATCTCTCCTACTTTATTGTGCACAGATTTCTTTAATACGCACAGCTAAAATGTCTCACTCAAAAGACGGTTTGCTATCGTAACTTACAGATCAATTCTGAAAGGATCTCCATAGTTAGCTTACAAACTGTGGCTACCATTGATTGAGCTACAGTACTGATATATAGTAAGTGTCTTTTTTTACACAGATTAATCAACTATATGAGAGGTTTGTGCCTTTGTGTTTAAATGAAGAGCAGTTGATTAAAAAGCCATTGAGAGAAACATGGCAAGAAATTGAGCACCAACATCCCTCAGGAGCATCTTTGGTGAGATTTCCTTTGGCCTTTTTCATTTTGTTTAGTGTTTGCAGTTTCCTTTGGTATATCTACTCTATTCTGCAATAATTAACATTGCTAATTAGGCCAAATAAAATAAATTGTTTTTGCAGATGGAAAAAGTTTTTATTTATTTATTTTTTTTTAATACTCATCAGATGGAATAAAAATTACACACAGAGGCTTAGAATGGCAATATCTTACATCAGACAACAACTTTAGACTAATTTGTAGGGCATTTGTCAAAAAATAAAGATAAATTTACTCACATTTGTTTTAATTTGTAAAGAAGGAAAAAGCTAAAAAAAATAATTTTTTTTTTGTTTTTCCACCCCTATTTTTTTCAGTTGAGTTATGGGTGGGTGGAGGAGGGCGTATGACAGGCCAGGTTTTGTCTAATGAGTTTCCATATAGAATTCAGGATTTGCAATTTAGTTCTTTAATTTTATGTTTGAAAACATAATTGCTATATTTTATGGACTTACATTAATTCTTTCTCTCTAGTTCAGCTAGGTAAACAAAGTAAAGTAACAGCATTAGACCAAAAAGATTTATATACTTGTTTAACATCAAACTATTCTGGCAGAAGAAGAAGGGTGTGGTGTTTTATAAACAAATCTACAACAAAACCCTTAGACTACATATCACCTATTATTAGCTTGCCAAGGCAGAGATGTATTAGAATGCCAAAAGTTATACATTAATTTTGTTTCCATACAATAAATATTATTGGTTAATTCACTATTTAAAAAAATTTAAGTACTTTTAATACAATTTTAATAAGCATTTTTGGCCGATTTTAGATGATTTAAAGAGGTCCAGATGAGCTCCACCATTCTACTGTCCTTTTTGGATAGACCAAGATTATTACATAATTTGTTGTTATAAAATAATAAGTAGACTTTGACTATTTACTTCCAGGACACAGAAAGCAACATGTGGTCACGGCCAGTTGTTTTGTCAGTAAGTAATTAAAATATACACATTTATTTCTGTTAATTTCAAAACTAGAATCACTTGAAATAGATACAAGATTTTATTTGCATTTGGCTGCAAAAAATATCCTTGCTCAAATTATGAAGTCTAAAACATGCAATATAATTATATCATTTAAGCTGTATTATCATTGTAAAAAAATAAAAACTAGTTTTAGGCTGCCATGGCTCACCTGTCCAGACTATATAGTATTAACGTACAAGTGGTTAGCGCATTGGTGGTGGCTTGGACTCTCAACCTTGACGTCGGGGTTCAAAACTCTCGCTGTGCAAGTCGCTTGTGTCCTTGGGCAAGGCACTTTATCTACGGTTGTCTCTCTCCACCCAGGCGTACAAGTGGGTACCTGGTAGGTTCAAACACAACCATGCGCTGATTACAGCTGCAACATTATGGGGCATAAGTGTTGTGTTCCATGTGCTTGATCCAGTGACTGGGGTAATAATGTAAAGTGCATAGAGGTTAGTCTACAATATGCACTATATAAGTCAACAATTATTATTATTATTATTAATGTATTTTTTTCAGATTGAATTCATTCTGATAGTTTCATTTACAGAATTATGTGTTATTTAGTTGAATGAAATCTGATAAACAAATTTTCAATATCAAGTTAATTAATTGTCTCATATTTGCTTTAGATTGGTTCATTACTGGCTGATATGATGCTACATGAAATCAACATTGACAGTAATCTTCGATCCACTTCCGCAAGGTATGCTATACACTTTCAGTGTAAACATTATCAAAATACTTCAGATTTCTTGCTTGATCCTAATCATTCACTAAATACTTTTGCTTGCCTGTCTACTGAGAATGTGTGATGCCAGTCACTGCAGACAATTTTGGATATGTACTTTTTGTAGAACAATTGTGAGATCATCATTTAGTAAATTAAATGAATTTATTTAGAAGATGTAAGGAAAATGCCTTCTTACATCTGAGAAACCTATTAGTAATACTGATTTAAAGAATCCAATACAAAAATAAAGTTATGATTATGTTTCATTTGGATTCAGAAGGTATGATTAGAAATATGTAAATGCACAGTCATTAATAATATATAATTCACAGTCATTTATAATATAATCAGCAATTAAAGCTGTTCAGTCTGTCAATGTTGAGTTCCTAATTTAGTTTTAATATACCTTTTGTCATTTTTGTTTGATGTTTTAATTGTCTTTAGGCAGATGATACCTGCACTCTATCACATCTTTGACTATAGGAGTCTTAAGACAGTTGGTTTTGTGAAGGTACTGTTCTTTACGATATATTTAATAATTTACTATGACCTACTGTTAAGCCATCCACACAGGCAATTTACTTTTATTTTCTAATTATATTTATTATTAGTGTCTATGATCAATTCCTGATGCTCACCTCAAATCATCCACTTTTTTTCCATACCCTCACCTCCATTTAAATTTCCATTTTTTGTAAATAAGCTCAATGAACTTTCAAATATTTTAAAAATGTCTTGTCTGTCATAGAAATAAGGGAAATTCAATTAAAACCCTAAATGAAAAGAATGAATTGAGGTATTCCAACCATAAACAAAATGCAGTTGCAAATTAGGGCTGCTTAAATAATAATTGTTTTTGAGAATCATAGAGGTATGGTAAAATATTGTTATTGTTTGGGTACAGTTTAGTTAAATTTAAAAAAGGGTGTTCTACAAATGACCATGAAAAAATGATCTTGATGATTCATTCTTGTTAGTATGTATATAGTTTGTGTGCACATTGTGATTTACAGCCACACCCGAAGCTAGTGAGCCTGATCCAGGATGCATGTCTACCAGATGTGGTGTTTGACAGTAACCATGTTCCAATGCTGTCTCCTCCTCTTCCATGGTGTTCTCATAAGTTTGGCGGTTATCTGTTTTCGTCTTGTAAGTTTTTAATAGTTTCTTATACATCATTTACATTGTGATTTATTTACTAATAAAAGAATATTAGTTTCCATATATTAGAATTGCATTGGGCACATTTAGACAAGTTAAAAGTAAGCTCTGAGGTAGAATTTTACTTGTTATATAAGCCCTAGGTAATACACATAGAGATCAGCTTAGCTCAGTTGGCTAATTTGATGGTAGCCACTGTGTGTGCGATTTCCATTGCTGCCTCTCCTTGTGTTTCAGCTGGAGGGCTGATATACAAGTTAATTAAGTGCTCCGTCTTTCGGAAGGGACATTTAAGCCGTTGGTCCTGTGCATTTATGGCTCATGTGCACGTTAAATAACGCAGTACATTCTTCGGAAAAGAGTAGGGAATTGTCTCCCGGTGTACTGCCCAATCACCACTAGAAGGACCCCACTGGAAATAAGTCTTCTTCTAGACTTTCGTGGGCTATCCTTGGTGTTTACACCGAATAAATCCAATCCAATAAATATGCTGTGTGGGTATTAAGTTCAAATACATAGCAGTCTTAGAGGTTGCATGCTACTTTCATGCTTACGGAATGCAAGGAATGCATGGTCATAGTGAGAGCCGCGTAGATGCAAATTTACTTCTGAGCTCGCAAGTTCGACCTTTATTATGGCCTATCAGTTTTTCGAAAGTTAACCTACTACCTATAAATAAGTGGCCAAACAGCATTTCCTGTGATGAGTAAAGGAAAGCCCTGACAACAGAACAAACTATTTTTGCCTGATAAAATTATGTTACCATAAATGATTGTTTATTTGATTTGTCTATATTTACATACACAGTATTCAGCTGGGGACTTGCGTGCTGCTTACAGTAATGCCTACTTTATGAATATACATATATATATATATATATATACATATATATAAATAAGAGCAACCAAACAAACCACATATTTTGGATAAGGCAATCAATTAATTGCCTCACCAAAAATGTCATTTATCTCATATATTGTAATATTTGTGGTAAACAATATGTCGGAAAAACAAAAAACACTCTCTGTATGAGAATGACACAACATAGATCAGCTATCAGAACATCTAAGCTTGATCAACCAGTAGCCGAACATTTTATTTCAGCTGGTTATTCAATTTCAAATTTCAGAGTGATTGCAATTGACCATAATGCCAGTTGGAGCGACAAAAATCGCAAAGATAAAGAGAATCACTGGGAACTTTTATTTACTTAAAACAACCACACCATTTGGACTCAATATTAGGAACGTTCTCCCAGTACACTAAATTAAACCAATGGCATTTCAATTTATTCTGGATAAAGTTTAGTTTTGGCCTTCCTGTTTACTTGTTTAGGCTGTTTATTCTAATCTCACCCAGCCTATTGTTTAAAATCATGCTTGCATGATATTCTCACCTTATACCATCTAGCTTTTTCTACCCTCACTCACTCGCCACTGAGGAAGGACTAGTGTTTTCCGAAAGCTCTGGTTCTATTTCTGGCTGTTTACTTACGTTTACTTTTTAGCTGTTGCTTATCATTTTT